TTCTTTTTTTTTAATTCTTTTAAATCTTTATTTACTTTTGACACACACAGAGAGAAACAGAGGCAGGGAGAGTGCATGTAAGCAGGGGAATAACAGAGAGGAGACACAAAATCCAAAGCAGACACCATGAGCTGTCAGACAGAGCCTGACGTGGGGCTCGAATTCATGATCTGTGACTTCATGACCTGAGCCAAAGTCAGACTCTCAACGAACTGAGCCACCCAGGCGCTCCAAGAGTTGGAGTTTCTGGTGGTGTTCTCTGGTCCTTTCTAGTCTTTGTTGCTTTTGTTTTTTGTTTTTTTTTCCTCATCTTTTCTCCCCTCAGAGAGTCCCCCTTAAAATTTCTTGTAGGGCTGGTTCGGGGGTCACGAACTCCTTTACTTTTTGTTTGTCTGGGAAACTTTCTATTCTATTTTGAATGCCAGCCTTGCTGGATAAAGACTTCTTGGCTTCATATTGTTCTGATTCAGTACATTGAATATATCTTGCCACTCTTTTCTGGCCTGCCACGTTTCTGTGGATAGTCTGCTGCAAACCTGATCTGTCTTTCCTTGTAGGTTAAGGACTTTTTTTCCCCTTGCTGCTTTCATGATTTTTTCCTTGTCTGTGTATTTTGTAATTTTGACTATGATATGGCTTGTTGATGATCAGTTTTTGTTGAATCTCATGGGAGTTCTCTGTGCTTCCTGGATTTTGATGTCTGTCTTTCCCCAGGTGAGGAAAGTTTTCTCTAATCATTTGCTCACATATACATTCTACCCCTTTTTCTCTCTCTTCATCTCTGGGACCCCTATGACTCTGATGTTATTCCTTTTAAATGAATCACTGAGCTCTCTAATTCTTACATTGTGCTCTTTTGTCTTAGTTTTCCTCTTTTTTTCTGCTTCATTATTCTCCCTAAGTTTGTCCTCTATATTGCTGATTCACTGTTCTGTTTCATCCATCTGTACTGACGTGGCATCCATTTGAGACTGCATCTCATTTATAGCATTTTTAATTTCATCCTGACTAGATTTTACTTCTTTTACCTCCACAGAAAGGGATTCTATGCTTTTTGCAACCTCAGCTAATATTCTTATTATCGTAAAATAAGTTCTGTACTGACATCTTGCTTGTATCTGTGTTAAGTCCCTGCCTGTCATTTCTTCCCGTTCTTTCTTTTTTTTTTTTTTTTTAAATTTGTTTCTAGGGGAGAGAGAGAGAGAGGCAGCATGAACAGGGGAGGGTTAGAGAGAGAGGGAGACACAGACTCTGAAATAGGCTCCAGGCTCTGAGCTGGCAGTCAGCACAGAGCCCGACGCGGGGCTCGAACCCACGAACCGCGAGATCATGACCTAAGCGAAAGTCAGACGCTTAACCGACTAAGCCACCCAGGCGCCCCTCTTCCTGTTCTTTCTTTCGGGGGTGAATTCCTGTCAAGTTCTTGGTTCAAGTTACACAGATTGCTGAGTTAATCCTCAGATCAATTTTTTAGGTGTGCAAGATGGTTTGGTGTTAATCTAGCTGCATTTCACGGACAAGAGACACAAAAAACTTCCATGCCACCCCGCCATCTTAGTCTCTCCCCAGTAATAATTTGCATTTTAAACAACTTCCCAGGTAGTGTTGATCCTATACTTGGAGACTACAGTTTGAAACAAATGGGCTGATCCAATGGATTTTCTGTCTTTATCTTGTCTCTTTGAACAAGATCATAATATCTGATGATGTTAAAATCTCCTCCTTGCACTGGAATCTCTTTAACAGCACTCCAGTTATTTAGGCAGGTTTAGGAACTACCTAACCCTACTATTTCCTAGGTTCTACCCCTAGTATCCTTGTGTTCTCTTTGGCAATGTAATTCTCTTCTTCTTGGCTTCAATAACCTGGTAATAAATTTTCAAAACTCCTTCCTAGGCTCCAAGAGGATTAAAGGTACCAAGAAGCTTTGGGAACATGATTCTTCTACTTCCTCCTCATCTTCAAAATCAGCTCTTTGTCATCAATTCTTTGTCTTAATTGACAGCACCTTCTTTAACCTAGGTGCACAAATCAGAATCATTTTGGAGCTCTCTGTTATTTGTACCCTCCCCTTTCAATTGGTCATTAACTTGTATCAATTCTAAAACAGCTCTTGAGCTTGGTAATTTCTGTAACTCAACTGCCAGAGAGGGCTTAATTCACTTGTCTGAACCTAACAGTCTTTGTAATGGATTTCCACTTTGACCATTCCAATCCAATCCCTGCAATACAGTTAGAGGATCTTCCTAAATAAAATGATAATTATGCCACTCTCTGCTTAAACTTCTTTAGTGCCTTTTTAAAAGTTTTAGTGCCTTAAAACTTTTTCTACTGCTTTTGGGATAAAACACAAACTCTCGGCATAATTAGAGATTCTCTGTCTCTCCACACCTTTTATTTCTGCACTCAAGCCACGCAAATTCTTTACAAATTCCAGAGCATGATGTATTTATTTGCTCATGACTCCATAACTAGGTACAGTCTGCTATCTCTTCTGGGCGATCCTGCCCCCTCTTCTGGGTAGCTACTCAGGATGCAGACTGAGTGACCTTTCAGAATGTTCTCCCTGCTTCTCCATCATCATTTTGGGCAGACTACTCTGATTATTTCCATAATGCCATGTTCATATATTTATCACAGCCTACCTCTCATTATATCATAATCACGATTTATTTTTTAATCTCTTTCTTCCTCCACTTGATATCCCTCTCCTCACCCAGCAATTTTATACATAGTACATTCAAGAGGCAGAATGGTTCCATGAGAAAGGCACAGAACTTAACTTGGGTTCAAGTCTTACCTCCATCTTTTATTAGCTCTATGTTAGCTAAACAGCAAAGGCAAATAAAACTACAATGCAGAAATACAGGAATTTATGCAATCACTTTATGATTTTGAGCATATGGTCTTACTTTTTTGGTCTGTTACTTCATTTGTACAACAGGTGTTAGACTAAATGGCTGCCTTTAACTCTAAGATCTTATGCCTATGATTATCAGCAGTACCATGGATAACAGAAATTTTAGACAGTCCTGCAAATATAGTATCATAAACATTTGAAATTGCAGCACTGAGGTCAATCATCAGGTTACTTAATTGCATAGATTCTTTTCAAAAGTCTGCTAGGATTTTTCATATTTTATTTTCTGTAATCTAGAAAAGGATAAGAAAAAAATTCTAAGTACCAGTAAAATATAACTCTTTTTAAAACCTGATTTCAAGGGAAATGTTTTACAATGTTATTATTCCTGAATTGTCATCAATTCATGCAGTCTCATTCCTATGAATCATAGAACATTCTACCTCCGAAGAGATCTTTCCTATAAAGCATCAGCACTAATTTTTGTCTCTATAAAGTAGAGAGCAAACAGTAACTTTTGCTAACAATGGCTAGAAATAATACATAATCCCCAAGATAAATGCAGATAAGATAAAATTGATGGCACTTGGAACAACAAAAATCTGATCTCAAGCAGTAACAGCTCATTCTTTCTTCACTTTCAAGGCCTCTTTCTCTATTTAAGGCTTCAAGATAAGCAGTAAAATAGGCAGAAGAAATTATTGTACAGAAGTCCCCCCTCCTACTCATGGGGGATATGTTCCAAGACCCTTGGTAGATGCCTGAAGCTGCAAACAGTACTGAATCCTGTGTATACTATGTTTTTTCTTATACGTACATACCTATGATAAAGTTTAATTTAAAAACGAGGCACAGTAAGAGATTAACAACAATAGCAAATAATAAAATAGAACAATTAGAATACTGTAATAAAAGTTATGTGAATGTAGGCTTTCTCTCTAAATATCTTACTGTACTGTATACATCCATTTTTTTCTCTTGTGATGACGTAAGATGATAAAATGCCTATGTGATGATATGAAGTGAGATGGATCATGCAGACACTGTGACGCAGTGTTAGGCTAACTAATGACCTTCTGACAAGTCAGAAGGAGGATCATTTGCTTTCTGACTATGGCTGACCATGGGTAATTGACACCACAGAAAGCAAACTGCAGATAAGGGGAGACTGCTGTATATTCCAGTTAAAACTGTACAAAGGGGAAACTATGCATGTAAATAAATACGTTATGACTAATCACCTTGAATACACTAACTAGATATCTCTCAATTGTAAAATGATGCTGATAATCCTACCATGATTATTTACAGTATATTTGATTTCACAGAGTCCTTTTCTCATCTTTATAATAATCCTGTGAGATAGTCAAAGAGAATGTTATCTCCACCTGAAAGATTAAGAGACTGAGGTGTGTGAATATGCCCAGACACAGAATTTTAAAATGTCAGAGCTGGAACTCTTTATCATGTCTCAGTTTATTTATCACCAGAACCCAGCATTTAGTGGATACTTAATAAACATGTAGCAAACGAATTAACTGAAATTTTCTGGTTCCTAGCATCCACTGCAACTTTCATTAGTGCCTTTACTAATTCTCAATTGCTAGGATAGGTTTCTAGTGGAGTCCAATAAAATTACTAACCCCTAAGCAAGAGTGTAATTTAATTCATGCAATTTAGGTAGCCCGACCTTCTGGGTTGACTATACAAGCAGAGGAGCACCTGAGTGGCTTAGTTGGTTAAGCATCCAACTCTTGATTTCGGCTCAGGTCATGGTCTCACAGTTCATGAGATTGAGCCCCAAGTCGGGCTCTGTGCTAACAGCCCAGGGCCTGCTTAAGATTCTCTCTCCCTCTCTCTCTCTCTCTGTCCCTCCCCAGCTCCCATGCATGTGCATGGACATGTACTCTCTCTCTCTAATAAATAAAGTTAAAAAGAAAAAAACATAAGCAGAATTTTTTTTAGTTAAGTATCTTTCCACCTACACATTTAATAGGAGTGTATGTAAAATAACCTCATCAGATAGAATAATCAAAGGAAAAAATCTATAGATATGTACATATTAACATAATTAGCATGAAGAAAATACTCATATGTAGTTGAAATTATGATACTGATTAAATAATCAAAGACAGTTTACCTGTGGTGCAAGAAGAGGGAGCCTAATATAAGCCAAAAGTTTACTGAGATCTTTCCGTCTCTGTTCCAAATCATGACGGACCCAAGTAAGAAGTGCATTCAGTATTGTCTCTTCGTTAGGAATGTTCATGTCATCACTGGCCAAGAGCTTTCCAATTTCAGTGGCTGGTAACAGTACAAATTCCTGGTTTCGAATTACTTCCATGAAATGTTCCTAGAGGGAAAAAATAGCACATAAACAATAGTGTTCCTCTGTCCATCAGTTTATTTAAGATAAAATAAAAAATCCTGAATTAGATGCCAAAATACAGTTTGTACTTTAGACCTTCCTTACAATAGTATCACTATTTACTAGGAAAGGAACGTATTAGAAAATAACATTTAAAGTGCAGTTATGTTGTTAGGCTTTAAGTCTCTATTATCAGTAGAATTAAATTTTACCATTTGCTACACTTTAAAAATGGACCTGGGATTGTAGGTCTTGGTTTGGTCAAGTTAGGGCATAGTTCTGGCAAGTCTTTCAAGAGGCAGAGGGAAGAAAAAATGAATTAGACTCTGAGATGTAGGATACTCTAACATCAAATTTAGTTTACATTTGTGGTTGCCGAAGAATTTGGTTAACAGTATAGCCAAACACCTGGGTTAGCTGCGAAGTTATTTCTCTTACCCAGAAAGTGCTGCCTGGCTGGCTAGATCTCCCAAGACTATTTCCAAGACCTCAGAAGTCTTCTCAGACTCTTCCCAGGGAAGACTATATCCTTAGGACTATCCTAGAACCTGATTAGCCTATACTAGAGTCTTTCAATGTAATTTATAAGACCACCCAGGATTTTAGACCTGTTTTAAAAATTTCTAATCTAATTTACGTATGAAGTTCTTTTGGTCTCAAAGAAAAAGAGCCAAAGCAAAAGTGTTGACACAGAATGCACTGGGACCCCAGACCCTTGCACATTCATTTTCAGCCACTACTAGAATCAGGCTCCCTATGATTTGAAATGGGAGATAGAAATGACTTTAGCTGTGAGATAATGACTTTTACTAGGTTATTGGGCTAAACAGTCTACAGAGATGGGAAATTTACTTTCTGGTCTGCAAGTTTACAAGTCTTAATGCATGGATTGTTTACATAACTATAACATAAATGCAAATCCTACATATATTGTCCCTTAATGTTTTTCTTATACTTCCTAGTTTGCTATGTCTGTCTCAGCATACAGGGCTGTTTAAATTAGAGCTAGAGATAAGGACTGGTGACTATCTTCTATATGAAAATGAGAATTATATGTTCCATATAGCTTGCAGTAACCCAAATTAGATACTGATCTAAAATATATCTTGAGTTGACATTCCTTTCTTGGAAATTCTTAAATAGGAAACCATACATGAATAATTAACTAAATTCAATTGCCTCAATTCATCATGATTTGTTAAAGATGCCCAAATGTATCTATTTTAAATGACTGATTATCATTTTCAGAAATACATTTTAATAAAACCGTGATGTCGGCTTCAAGCAAACTGTTCAACTCACTTATATACTGACATAAAATGATTTGGTAACACATAGCAAGAGCTATAAAAATGCTTAAGCTCTCAACCTAGTTACACCACTAGCAGTTCAATCCTTTATAAATAATTCACAAGGAAAAAAAAGCTGATGCTTCTCTAACGATGCTTCTCTGTATTATTATTTATATTAGTACAAAATGGGAATTAGCCTATAGTCCAGCTATAGGGGTTTGTAACTCAATGGACTATTAAGCAGGCATTAAAAATTTCAAAAACAAAGATCATACAGATACACAGAAACATTTATTACATAATATTAGGGAAGATTCTCAAGAAATCAAAATAATATACATGTCTTTTTAAATTAATTATTTTAATTGTTTAGTCATTTAGTTACAGCAGATATGTACAATTAATTAATGTTTAAATTTATATCCAAGTTAGTTAGCATATAATATGACAATGATTTCAGGAGGAGATTCCCTAATGCCCCTTACCCATTTAGCCCATCCACCCTCCCACAACCCCTCCAGCAACCTTGTTTGTTCTCTATATTTAAGAGTCTTTTACGTTTTGTCTCCCTTTCTGTTTTTATATTATTTTTGCTTCCCTTCCCTTATGTTCATCTGTTTTGTATCTTAAAGTCCTCATATGAGTGAAGTCATATGATATTTGTATTTCTCTAATTTCACTTAGCATAATACCTTCTAGCTCCATCCACGTAGTTGCAGACAGCAAGATGTCATTCTTTTTGATTGCCAAGTAATACTCTATTGTATATATACCACATCTTCTTTATCCATTCATCCATTGATGCACATTTGGGCTCTTTCCATACTCTGGATATTGTCAACAGTGCTGCTATAAATACTGGGGTGCATGTGCCAATTCAAAAAAGCACACCTGTATCCCTTGGATAAATACCTGGTAGGGCAATTGCTGGGTTGTAGTGTAGTTCTATTTTTTATTGAGGAACCTCCATACGGTTGCATTCCCACCAGTGGTGCAAAAGAGATCCTCTTTCTTCACACCCTCACCAACCTCTGTCATTGCCCGAGTTGCTAATGTTAGCCATTCAGATAGGCATGAGGTAGTATCTCATTGTGGTTCTGATTTGTATTTCCCTGATGATGAGTAAAGTTGAGCATTTTTCAGGTGTCGGTTGGCCATCTGGATGTCTTCTTTGGAGAAGTGTCTATTCATGTCTTCTGTCCATTTCTTCACTGGATTATTTGTTTTTTGGGTGTTGAGTTTGATAAGTTCTTTATAGATTTTGGATACTGACTCTTTATCTGATAGGTCATTTGCAAATATTTTCTCCCATCCTGCTGGTTGCCTTTTAGTTTTGCTGATTATTTTCTTCACTGTGCAGAAGCTTTTTATTTTGACGAGGTCCCAATAGTTCATTTTTGCTTTTGTTTCCCTTGCCTCTGGAGATGTGTTGAGTAAGAAGTTGCTGCAGCCAAGGTCAAAGAGGTTTTTGCCTGCTTTCTCCTTGAGGATTTTGATGGCGTCCTGTCTTACATTTATGTCTTTCATCCATTTTGAGTTTGTTTTTGTGTATGGTGTAAGAAAGTGGTCCTGTCCAGTCTTCCCAGTACCATTTGCTAAAGAGACAGTCTTTATTCCATTGGATATTGTTTCCTGCTTTGTCAAAGATTATTTGGCCATATGTTTGTGGGTCCATTTTTGGGTTCTCTATTCTGTTCCATTATCTGAGTGTCTGTTTTTGGGCCAGTACCATACTGTCTGGATGATTACAGCTTTGTAATGTATCTTGAAGTCCAGGACTGTGATGCCTCCAGCTTTGGTTTTCTTTTTCAAGATTGCTTTGGCTATTTGAGGTCTTTTCTGGTTCCATAGAAATTTTAGAATTGTTTGCTCTAGCTCTGTGAAGAATGCTGGTGTTATTTTGATAGGGATTGCACTGAATATGTAGATCAATGTTAGTATTGAGATTTTTCCTATCCAAGAGTATGGAATATTTTTTCATTTTTTTGTTTCTTCCTCAATTTCTTTCATAAGCTTTCTATAGTTTTCAGTGTATATAGGTTTTTCACCTCTTTGGTTAGATTTTTTCCTAGGTATTTTATGGTCTTTGGTGCAATTGTAAATGGGATCGATTCCTTGATTTCTCTTTCTGTTGCTTCATTATTGGTGTATAGGAATGCAACCGATTTGCATCTGTGCATTGGTTTTATATCCTGTAACTTTGCTGACTTCATCGATCAGTTCTAGCAGTTTTTTGGTGAAATCTTTTGGGTTTTCCACACACAGTATCATGTCATCTGGGAAGAGTGAAAGTTTGACCTCCTCCTGGCCGATATGGATGCCATTTGTTCCTTTGTGTTGTCTGATTGCTGAGGCTAAGACTTCCAATGCTATACTGAATAACAGTGCTGTCTTGTTTCTGACCTTGGGGGAAAGCTCTCAGTTTTTCCCCATTGAGGATGATGTTAGCAGTGGATCTTTCATATATGACTTTTATGATCTCGAGGTATGATCCCTCTATCCCTACTTTCTTGAGGATTTGTATCAAGAAAGGATGCTGTATTTTGTCAAGTAGTGTCTCTGCATCTCTTGAGAAGATCATGTGGTTCTTGTCCTTTCTTTTATTGATGTGATGCGTCGCACTGTTTTGCAGATATTGAACCATCCCCACATTCCAGGTATAAATCCCACTTGGTTGTGGTGAGTGATTCTTTTAATATACTGTTGAATCCAGTTGGTTAGTATCTTGTTGGAGATTCTTTGCATCCATGTTCATCAGGGAAACTGGTCTATAATTCTACTTTTTAGAGAGGTCTTTGGTTTTGGAATAAAGGTAATACTGGCTTCACAGAGTGAGTTTGGAAGTTTTCCTTCCATTTCTATTTTTTGAAACAGCTTCAAAAGAATAGGTGCTAACTCTTCTTTAAATGTTTGGTAGATTTCCCCTGGAAAGCTATCAGGCCCTGGACTCTTGTTTTTTTGGGAAATTTCTGATTACTAATTCAATTCATTTACTGGTTATGGGTCTGTTCAAATTTTCTATTTCTTCCTATTTCAGTTTTAATAGTTTATGTTTCTAGGAGTTTGTCCATTTCTTCCAGGATTGTCCATTTTATTGGCATATAATTGCTCATAATATTCTTATTATTGTTTGTATTTCTGCTGTGTTCATTGTGATCTCTTCTCTTTCATTCTTGATTTTATTTATTTAGGTCCTATCCTTTTTCTTTTTGATCAAACTGGCCAGGAGTTTATCAATTTTGTTAATTGTTTCAAAGAACCAGCTTCTAGTTTCATCGATCTGTTTCACTGTTTTTGTTGGTTTCAATAGCACTGATTTCTGCTTTATTATTATTTCCTGCCTTCTGCTGGTTTTGGGTTTTATTTGCTGTTCTTTTTTACAGCTCTTTACGGTGTAAGCTTAGGTTGTGCATCTGAGACCTTTCTTCCTTCTTTAGAAAGGCCTGGATTGCTATATACTTCCCTCTTATAAACAACTTTGCTGCGTCCCAGAGGTTTTAGGCTGTGGTATTATCAATTTCATTGGCTTTCATGTACTTTTTAATTTCCTCTTTAACTTCTTGGTTAGCCCATTCATTCTTTAGTAGGATGGTCTTTAGTTTCCAAATATTTGTTATCTTTCCATATTTTTTCTTGTGGTTGATTTTGAGTTTCATAGTGTTGTGGTCTGAAAATATGCACATTATCATCTTGATCTTTTTGTACTTGTTGTGGGCTGATTTGTGTCCCAGTATGTGATCTATTCTGAAGAATATTCTATATGCACCAGAGAAGAATGTGTATTCTGCTGCTGTAGGATGAAATGTTCTCTATATACCTATTAAGTCGATCCAGTCCAGTGTGTCATTCAAGGCCATTGTTTCCTTGTTGATTTTCTGTTTAGATGATCTTTTCATTGCTGTAAATGGGGTGCTGAAGTGCCCCACTATTCAATTAGTTTCCTTAGGTATGTGATTGATTTGTATCTTTGGATGCTTCCACATTGCGGGCACAGATGTTTACTGTTTACAACTGTCAGGTCTTGGTCGGTAGACCTGTTAATTATGATATAATGCCCTTCTTCATCCCGTGTTTGAGTCTTTATTTTAAAATCTAGGCTGTCAGAGTATGGATACTCTGGCTTTCTTTTGGTGACCAGTAGCATGATAGATGGTTCTCTATCCCTTTATTTTCAACCTGAAGGCATCTTTACATCTAAAATGGGTGTTTTGTAAACAGCATATTGATGGATATTGTTCTTACCCATTCTGCTACCCAATGCTTTTGATTGAAGCATTTAGCCCACTAATGTTTAGAGTGAGTACTGAAAGATATGAATTTATTGTCATTATGTTGCCTGTAGAGTGGTGTTCTCTGGTCCTTTCTGGTCTTTGTTGCTTTTGTTTTTGTTTTTGTTCTTTTTCCCCTCGTCTTTTCTCCCCTCAGAGCGTCTCCCTTAAAATTTCTTGCAGGGCTGGTTTGGTAGTCATGAACTCCTTTACTTTTTGTTTGTCTGGGAAGCTTTTTAACTCTCCTTCTATTTTGAATGACAGCCTTGCTGGATAAAGAATTCTTGGCTTCATATTGTTCTGATTCAGCACACTGAATATATCTTGCCACTCTTTTCTGGCCTGCCAAATTTCTGTGGATAGGTTTGCTGCAAACCTGATCTGTCTTCCCTTGTCGGTTACGGACTTTTTATTTTCCCTTGCTGCTTTCATGATTCCTTCCTTGTCTGTGTATTTTGTGAATTTGACTATGATATGCCTTGTTGATGGTCAGTTTTTGTTGAATCTCATGGGAGTTCTCTGTGCTTCCTGGATTTTGATGTCTGTCTTTCCCCAGGTTAAAAAGTTTTCTCCTATCATTTGCTCACATAAACCTTCTACCCGTTTTCTCTCTCTTCATCTCTGGGCCCCTATGATTCTGATGTTATTCCTTTTTAGTGAGTCACTGAGTTCCCTAATAATATACATTGCTCAAAGGTAGTATATAGTATAATCAACACTCACATCATACTGATGTTAACTATTGCTTTACTCTCAAATGGTATTAGTGGCATTACCAAAGCAACGGTATTCATTCATCAATTAGAAAAGGACTATTATATAACAATACTCATTTTATTATTTACTTGTTGATGTACCTATTTTGTAATGCTGTCTGTTCCATTCTAATTCATTTTAAGTGAAAATCAGGTCTCTCAACAACTTATGGAAAGACTACTGAACTCAAGGTTAAACACAAAGTGCTTTTCAAAAGTATTTGGTTTTAAACCAGGTATTTTAACAGAATTAAATGGTTTTTTCCTAGGTTTTCTAGATCAAGAAAGAAAATTTTAAAATTTTAAATTAGGGGTGCCTAGGTGGCTTAAGCATCCGACTTTCGCTTAGGTCATGATCTCGCGGTTCGTGGGTTCGAGCCCTGCGTCGGGCTCTGTGCTGACTGCCAGCTCAGAGCCTGGAGCCTGTTTCAGTCTGTGACTCCCTCTCTCTCTGACCCTCCCCTGNCTGTGCTGACTGCCAGCTCAGAGCCTGGAGCCTGTTTCAGTCTGTGACTCCCTCTCTCTCTGACCCTCCCCTGCTCACGCTGTCTCTCTCTGTCTCCTAGAAATAAATAAAACATTAAAAAAAATTTAAAAAAAAATAAAATAAAATTTTAAATTAAATGCCTGTATTTATTTCATAAATCCATAATGTCATTAAATATTTGTAATAATATACCAATCTTAGACTTTTTGTTGGTTAAATAACTTGGGCCAGGTCACATTCAGTGGCAGCCAGAATGAGCACAAGTTTCCAGGTTTCAGGAGAACAAGAATAAACTCTTTATCCTTTCCTACCTATGCTCACAGAGGATGACTAAACATCCCAAGTATGTGCACCATTTATGGACCGTGACAACTGAATTTACTACGTGGCATTATTCTTACTCTATTTTGTGTTGTTGTGATGAGCACGGGTGTTGTATGGAAGTGTTGAATCACTATATTGTGTACCTGAAGCTAATACAACACTGTATGTTAACTCACTGGAATTAAAATAAAAACTTAAAATTTTGTGATATAAAGAGCTATCACGCTACCAAACACTTATTAGCATTATGCCTTTTCTTCTTTTGGAATTGGTTTTTAAGCAAATAAAATTACTGAGGGATTTGTTTAAATTAAAGATTGAATTTTTTGATACATTTTCATCGAGTTCCCATAGCAACAATTCAAGTCAAACAATCTGCCTCTAAATGACTTATTGCTGTTAGACTTAAATTTCATGTCTCTGTTGAAACTGAATAATGTCAAATAATGGCATTGAGAAATAAAAATACCCAACTAATTGGCTATGAAAATAGTTCTAAAAACATTGAGGTAAATCAATAATATTGTAATAACTCCGTATGGCTACAGAAAGTAACTACACTTATCATGGTAAGCATGACAAAATGTATAGAACTGTTGAATCCCTATGCTGTCCACCTCAAACTAAAATAACACTGCAGCCAACTTTACTTTAATAATAGAAAAATAAGCCAGTTTAAGTCTAAGCCATTATGTCTAAGCAGCCACTGTTCCTCTACCGTAAACAACAGGAGTACCCTTAGTGCAGCTAAATGTTTTTATATGCATAAAACTCCTTCCTAAAAGATATTAAATTATGAACGGATTATGAAGAAAAGAAAACCAGCTTTACTTTATTTATATTCATCTTACTCCCCAAATTATTTGAATCTGAGGTTTAAGGTTAAAATGAGAAGTCTGCAAGGAAAGATAAAGACTGAGGCGGGGAAAAATCTCCCATGGGGTGTAATTTAATTTATACTAGATCTGTATAGTAGTGCCCTGTCACACAATCTCTAGTTTTTCACTCGAAGCACCACAGCCATTATAAACAAGTAACATTTCTGAGAAGTGACACTATGGGGAAAAAAAATGAATCATGAAGGTTGTACTTTTGTATGAGTGCTTTTGTTCCCTCACGCCAATCCCTACTGTGTCGAATAGAGTAAATCTTTATAATGAGGGTAACAACGATGATGCCACCATTTACTGACTGGGTATCCTGTGTATCAATTACTATTTTAAGCACTAAACTGCTATTAACTCATTTAATCCTCACATCAAGCTTATCAAGTTGGTGGAATTAATCTTCCCAGTTGTTGCAAACATCTGTTCTCACAATTTTTGCCAAATCTCTGTTTTTGTAGTGAAAGATTCTTAAAGTATCAATCCCTTCACAGACAAACCAACGCACAGAAAGGATGGGGGACACTGGACAAGGGAGACAAAAACATCCTAAATGCTAATAAAATAGCCATATAGACAACTAGTATATGTATGTGTGTGAGTGTTCACACTCTCTCTTTTCTCAGAAGCTGTACTGTCCTGACTGCAGCATTTAGGGCAATCTTTGCCCAGCTGTGAAGGCCTAACTGCCTTGACGTGACAAGATGGTCATTCCTTAAAATTCCAAATATCCTCCCTTCCTCAAGCCCCCCAACCATGAAGACTGTGAGACCTGGTCCAACAATATGCTCTCAACATGCCCTTCTTTTCTTTCTGTCCTAGATCAATCTGTACCCACTGTCCTCCAGGTTTCTGAATGAGAACCTCCTCTGCAATTTATTTTGAGCACATAATTTGCTACAGTTAATAAGAACATCTTTCTATGTAGCTAAAACCTTTCTTACATATAATCAGATTTATCTTTAATAAAAAGCCTCCCTTTCATCCTATCATCTGTGCTAGTACTGCACCAATGTTGCAAAGTCACCGTCACCAATTTCCGTCAGTGAATATGTGGGCAATTCTGAAATACACCCAAGTGCTACCAAGGAAAATGTAGGGGAAATCCTGCTTTAAAAAGTGGCAGATCTGAAAATCTTGAATAGAAGAGTCCTAGGCCACTGCTCTGCTTCTCAGCAACTGTAATAACTTCGGGCTTGACTCATACATCCAGGAGAAATATTACTTGGCGTTTTCCCCTCATAACTCAATGAAAACATTTTGCATTAGACAGGGAACCTGAACCTCAAGACATGTGGCAGAGCCATGGGGAAACAGCAACATGTAGATAAGCCTGCAATAATAAGGAATGAGGTAAAGAGCATATGCCTTTCTGCTTTTCAGAAAATACATACCATAGTATAATTGTGAGCCACTTTATGCAAATCTGTACAACCTTGGGCATCAGCAAAAGAACGGATTCCAAGACAGTTGGACGGGTGAAGCTGTTTCATTAAAAACTTACAGCAAGCTTCCACGACCTGTGAAAGCTGAAGAAGGCAAGCTGTAGATAGCAGGCACTCAATATTATCTTCTTTTAATTCAAGGCGGCCTTAATGATAAAAAGAAATTCCATTACCTATACAGCTATATTAACTTTAATTTATAAAATAATCAATGATAACTGTAATAATTCTAAACAAGAGTTCATTGTATGAATTCCAGACATAGATGGGTTAAGAGTCCAAAAAGAAAAAAAGTACTAAATACAAAAAACAGATTATTAGCTCTTTGTGACTTCTATTAAAAGAAAAAACTAATGGCTTATTTTCAGAAGTTTTAAATGATGCTTTAAGTAGCATATCTAATTTTAAATGCAAATAATTTATAAACATTACATAACTCATCTAATTATTGTATTAACATTTAAAAATACCAATCATAAGCTTAGTTATGAAAAACACTTTAAAGATTCTAATATAAAAATGTTAACTTATGAAGGTATCACTGGGAGTGGTGATTACAACAACAGAATGAACTGTTGGCTGTGGGAGGCTATACTAGAAGCAGAAATCTGAAATCTAATAATGTAACATAATCTTAAGAGGTTTTAAATTTACATTTCAGATTTATTACCTGTATACGCATACTGAATCAAGGACCATAGTGAATTCGGTTCAACACCTTCCATTTTTATTTCCTCTTGTCTTGCTTCCCTGACATCATTAGTAAACATGGCAGCAAAATAATCAGAGACAGAGGAGAGCACCAGTCTGAGAACATATCAGAAGAAAAAATCAGTGACCACATTATAAAGTTGATGTTCATTAATAAATGCTGCTGCTTCTCTTTCTCTCTTTCTTTTTTTTTTTTTTAAAGTTTGTTACCAATAGAAAGTGCATAGTACTAGGAAATGTAAGTTTGACAAACTGCTTTATGCTCTAGTTCCTTCTTTGGAATAATAAATTACCATTACTGAATATTTTCTGCTGAGGTAATGATTTACCTATTCATTACTCAAATATCACTTTATAACATCCAGAAGAAAAGCTAAAGCTCACAGCATTAAACTGACTATATAAAGAAGGAAAAAAAGTATAAAGGTTATTTTCTGTTTATCACTTTTGGAAATAACCTAGGGTTTTGCTTTTTTTTTTTTTAATTTAATTGTAGAAACAGTAAATATATCGGAGACATTTGAGAATGGTTTTAGCAGATTATTTTTAGCTTTTGTGTTTTTTAAATTATTACTGTATAATATTTGTATTTTGTTATTAAAGTATATTATTTCTTATAATACTACAAAACTATAATATTTTTATAATAGTACATTATTATGTATTATCTACATCTCTGATCAGATTTTTGATAGTCATACGTGAACAAAAATAGGTTATACATACAGATTTTGAAATGTGTATTTTTTATTTGATGTCTTGGAGATATTGCCATGTCAGCACACTTATATAGATTTACTTTTTTTTTTTTTTTGAAGAAATATTAACTGGTAATAGTCGAAGCTCCCTCTGTGTTCCTCTCTACTTCCATTCTCCTCCCACCCAGGCATGCAGTGCTGAGTCATAGGTTTACCAGATTGCTCTCCAAAGTGCTGTGCCAATTTAGACCCCTACCAGAGATGTATGAAAGAGAATATTTTCCTACAACACTGTCAGATGTTAAATATTGGGGACATCTGCAAGGTGTTAAGGGGCATCTCACTGTTGTTTAAATTTAAAAAAAATTTTTTTTGTTTGTTTTTATTTTTGAGAAAGACAGAGAGACAGAGTGTGAGCAGGGAAGGGGCAGAGAGAGAGGGAGACACAGAATCTGAAGCAGGGTGTCAGCACAGAGCCTGATGCAGGGCTCGAACTCATGAACTATGAGCTCATGACCTGAGCCAAAGTCGGACACTCAACCGACTGAACAACCCAGGTTCCCCTCGCTGATGTTTTTTCATTCCCCTGATTGCTAGTAAGATTGAAGGTCTTTTCAAACAGTCATTGATCATTCAGGTTTCTTCTGAGAACTGCCTATTTATTCATTTATTCACTAAACAAATTCATATCTAATAAGAACTGGGCACTGTTCTAGATATTTGAGATATTATCAGTATAAACAACAGAGAAAAGATCCCTTCTCTCATGGATTCTTACATTCTAGGGGGAAGGGAAATAAATAATAAACAGCAGAAGTAAATTAAAGAGTCGTAAGTGCTAAGGGGAAAACCCAGGAGAAGGGCAAATGGGGAGTAGGCAGTGGGTTTAAGTAAGTGGTCATACTGGAAAATGGCATTTGGGCAAAGACTTGAAGGAGGTGAGGGAATTAGTCACACAGGAATCTAGGAATAGCATTCAGGCCGAAGGAGCAGCCAATGCAAAAGCAAAAACCCAAAGGGAGCAGCGGCATGCCTGGTACATACAAGGCACATGGGGGCTGTGTGGCTCAAGCAGAGTGTGTGAGGACAGGAGCTGGACAGAGCATTAGAAGGCAATGGTGGTCACACAGGCCACTGTGAGGACTTGGGCTTTCACAACTGGTGACATGAGGAGTCACTGAAAAGTTTGATCGCAGGAGTGACTGGATCGGAGTTCTTTTTTTAAGGGATCGCTGAGGTAGCTGTGCAGAAAACAGAATGTAGGGGGAGAGGTGGAAGCAGGGAGACCAATTGGCAGTTTCTGGCATTGGTAACCTGAGTGAGATGGTGAGAGTTTACACATAGGTGGAAGGGAAGGTAATGAACTCTGTTTTAGAAATAATAGGATTTGAGATGCCTCTATGAAATGCAGGTTCAGGTATCTTTTCTAATAAACCCATACTCATAACATGGACTTTTTGTCACAGTATCTAGTAGCATCTCAATAAATGCATGCTCATTGAATCACTGGAAACTAAGACCAAGCCCATTTTTCCTAATGATATCACTTCTACTTTAGAAGGTTTAAGAAAACCTTTGGGACAGAGTGTTAATTAGTTTTTGAAAGCATTAAAAAAAAAAAACCAAACCTTTGGGGTTCTAACAATGATTAACATCAAATAATTGAATATGGAATTATCAAAAGAAACAATGAAATACTATTTATTTATTTCTAAACATTTATTTATTTATTTATTTTTGAGAGACAGAGCATGAGCAGGGGAGGGGCAGAGAGAGGGAGACACAGGATCCAAAGTAGGCTCTAGGCTCTGAGCTGTCAGCCGAGGTCGGCTGCTTAACCGACTGAGCCACCCAGGCACCCCTGAAATACTCTTTATTAAACCCTTCTCTTTTCCTTTCCTTATTTCAAAAAATAGTAGCATCACTGTTTTTCATATTTCTTAGAAGTCAGCAAATGGAAGTTGGGACAGGGGTCACTATTTTAAAACTCTTCACAGTTTTTTCCATTTCCTTCCACTGGCATTTTTGCTTTTAAATATTCACAGCTCTAATTTCCATTGAGTTTACTTAAAGTTATTTAATAGGTAGAATTTAGGAAGAAAGCTGCTTATAGTAGCTGAAATCTATACCAAACAATACTGACCAATCTGAGGCTAGTGTGCTTTGTTGTTTTTGATTCTATGGAAGGAAAGTGGCCCTTCTGGGGTCATTTAATGTGTAGTAATTTCACATGCAGTTTTCTTTGTAGAAATTCCATGAAAGATACCCTTTCCCAAAAGCATTCCATCCTAATAGTTAGTTGGAACAAATTGTCTCAAAATATATCACTAAGTTAGCAAGGAAATATTTCTCACATATAGGAGACTTAGAAAACAATTTACCTGTGAGCTGGAATTCTGCGATCACCAGCAACTAGAATTACATCACATAACTGTTTATGTCTCAGATAGTTTTCCATCTTTTTAAATGTTTGCTCAGCATGATTAAGGGCTTGGAAAAATTCATCTGATGAACATGGCTCCATAGTATGGCAGGATGATAATGTCTGACTACTATTGGAAGTCCTGAAATGAAAGAGAACACACCATTTGAAATATTACTATCACATTGAAGATATCTTTTCTATCACGTCCTTTAAAACCCTTTAAATGTAATAGAAGTAATCAATGCTATCAGTCAACAGTAACATGTAATGATTCATCATTTTTGCCTTTTCAGTGATGGCTCAAATAATACATGTGCCTTGTAAACACTGTGAGTGATTGTGACATCTATTAGTTAGTGATTATACATATTCTTTGTGGTGTCTATTTTTTTTTTCTTTTCTTTTTTTTTTTGGAGAGAGCACATTTAGGGGAGTGGCAGAGAGGGGATAGAGGTGACAGCTCTGCTGACAGCAGAGTGCCCAGTGTGGGGCTTGAACTCAACCCACTGAGCCACCCAGATGCCCCTCTTCCTTATGATATTCTTAATAACATTTTCTTTATTCTCTAGCTTACTTTATTGTAAGAATACAGTATATAATACATATAATATACAAAATGTATGTTAATTGACTATTATTTTTAAGGTTTCTAGTCAAGAGCAGACTATTTAGTAGTTAAGTTTCCAGGGAGTCAAAGTTATATGGGAATTTTCAACTATGTGGGGGTTGGTGTCCCTAATTCCTACATTGTTCAAGGGTCTACTGTACACTGACATAAAAACAATGCTATAAACAATTCATTTGATTCTCTAGCCAGTATTCAAAAACCCAGGTAACCTACAACTTTTATTACAGGTAAAAGAAATTTGATGGTCTAACCCAGATATCTAAAACTTACTTGAAATTTCCAAATTATAATTTGAAAAGTATGAGTTTTCATATGACTTACGGATGGAAATGGTGAAAAAGTGAAAAGGTTAGTGTTCGACCAAGAATTAAGTGCTAGGTCCACCCATCTCCACCACCCCCACGATCACTTGAATCACATAATCAACATCCACTGGCTATGCAATTAACTACAGAACCACTGACTATGCCATAACTTAGCTCTCATTTCTTGTCAGATCTACTTTTAGGGATAATTATGATTTTGACAACTGCTTTGTTGATTCAATCCTCACTGTATCTTAAGAGCACTGGGTGTTATACGGAAACCAAGTTGATAATAAACTATTTAAAACAAAGAATATTCTTAACATAAACCTCTAATAATCTTACCAAAAAAAGAAAAGTCATTGGAACTTTATGTTTAAGGTAAAGGGAACTGAAACCAAGGAGAGCAAGTGTCTTGCCAGGAGTCATGCAGTTTGTACATGATAGAAACAGGCTTGTCAGACACCACTGTGTGTTCACCTTTAGAACCCTTTTACTTTTGCTTCTGAGAATACAGCTGGACTGCATTTCCCAGCCTCTGTCAGAGATAGGTGTGGTCTTAGAATAGAAATGAACTGTGTCCCCTCCAGGCTAAAGTGGCTAAGAGAAGATGTTCCTTTCTCATGCTCTCCTTCTCTTACAGGAGTTGAATGGAGAGGACTGAGGACTTAGATCAAGGAAGAGGTAACACAGACACATGGAAGGTCACTCAGATAAGAACATTTATATAGGTTATAGTCACAAGAATTCTCACACCGTATTGAGATTTATCTGTTTTGGATGGTAGCAGTGTCTTGACTAATACATATCTCTCCTTAAATTCTCCCAGACCAACACATTTTTAATGCATACAAATATGGGCCCTAAAAAATGTTCTTGAAGGATAACTGTCAATAATAATAGAAGCAAAATATATATTATCTAGAATGCATGTGTCATACACTATGAACACTATTGGTGTAATGACTTGGAAAATCTAGTATAATATACTCAAATTTACATTTAAGATAATTATTATAAAAACAAAGTGAGTAAAGTATAATTATATGTTGCTTATACAAATAAATGAGAATTAAAAATTATTTTAAAATCTAGGAGAAAAAATAACAAGAATAACAAACGATGGTAACTGGTGAATAACAATTTGAAGATTTAAAACATTTTTCAATAAAATGAAGTTTTATATTGTCAAAATATTGACAAATGATTTTAAGAGTCTTAATGATCTAGGAATGAAAGAAAATTAGAATACTTAGTTTTCATAAACCGCAAATTATTTCATTAGCCTCATTCCCTAAGACTGATTTACTAGGTCTGAGGTAGGATCTGAACGTCCTACCATCACGGTTTTTTTTTTTTGTTTTTTTTTTATTCTTTGAACATAATATAGAATTTTTTTTTTTTTTACAAATAGTTTATTGTCAAATTAGTTTCCACATAACACCCAGTGCTCATCCCCACAAGTGCCCTCCTCCATGCCCATCTCCCCCCTCCACCCCACATCCATCAGTCCTCAGTTTGTTTCTCAGCATTCAAGAGTCTCTCATGGTTTGCCTCTCTCCCTTTCCCCCACCATTTCCTCTCTTCTTCTCCCCCAAGGTCCTCAGTTAAGTTCCTCCTAATCCTCCTATACGTGCAAACATATGATATTTGTCCTTCTCTGCCTGACTTATTTCGCTCAGCATAACACCCTCAAGGTCCATCCATGTTGCTACACATGGACAGATTTCATTCTTTCTCATTGCCACGTAGTATTCCATACCATCACGTTTTTTGAAAGCCCTACAGGAGATCTGAACATGCATCACAGGCTGAAGGCCAATGGTGTGCACTTCAGGGAGAGACAAATACATTACACAAATCAGCATGTGATGAACTAACAACTTTACACTATAGATACTTTAAACATATGTAAATTGAATTTCTTTGACTAAAATATTTTATTTTTAATGTTTGTTTATTTTTGAGAAAGAGACACAGAGTGCAAACGGGGAGAGGCAGAGAGAGAGGAAGACAGAATCTGAAGCAGGCGCCAGGCTCTGAGCTGTCAGCAGAGAGCCTGACATGGGGTTTTAACTCAAAAACCATGAAATCATAACCTGAGCTGAAGTCGGATGCTTAACCGAGCCACCCAGGCGCTCCAGACTAAAATATTTTAAATGAACTAGTTGAACTTAATAGAATATTTGTCATTTTTTAAAATAAGCATAAAGGTAAAACATCAAAATCATTTACACATTTACAAACAACTTTTGTTTCTAACATGACATCTCAAACTTTGTTATTTCCTTTTCATGGCTTCCACTACCATCACATATTAAATAAAAATATTACTTCAATGTGACAATTAATTTACTGAGATTTCTGGGCATAGAAATCACTTCCATCCACTGTTACAAACAAAGGATCAAAAGAGATACAGGCTTCTGATCTGTATACTTGGAGAAGTGAAGTCATCCATTCACAAAAGGATCATGAAACAGGAAGAAACAGCTATTCAAAAGACTTAAAAACTGCACAGCTTCCTAGCATTTCTTGTTTTGTTTTAAGAAATTTGGGGGGTTACACATACACTTTTAATAATGCAAGAATTAAACTAAAAAAATTACTGCATCTCCATACAACCTTGGCCATTAGAAAAACTATATATAGAATTCTTACATCTAGGAAGCACCTATGCATTTAATTCAATTCCATTATTTTGAGATGAGAAAACCTGTAGCCAAAATTGGCCGAAGTACTCAACTAAAGACACACAGGCAGACAGTTGCAGAGCCAGGATCAGGAAGCATTCAGAGTGTTGGTCAAACCGCTCACAAAGAAATGGAAATTCTTGCCTACCTTCATCCTCAAGGATGAAGCTCCTTATATAAACGCTACAGGTATGAAAGAGGAGGATGGTACAGTATGAATGAGGGTAATTTCACAGACAGATAATATAATTAAGAATTTTAGACAAATGTCTACTTCTATGTGACTGCCCCTTTGCTAGGTATAAGAGATGAAAAGTCTTTTAGGTTTCCACGTGACAGAAACCACATCTCTATCCCTAGCTTATCAGACTGCTTTTAATATTAAGACTCCACGTAATTTATAATGTTAGTAATTCCTTACTATTTCTTTTCCTATTATGTATTTTGGTTTGGAGAGATGAATCGAAGAGGTATGGGATAGTGAACACTCTAGGAAAATTCTAGAGCTGTGATTTCCAGTACAGTGGTCACTAGCCTCGTGGTGCTATTATAATTTAATGACAATTAAATTTAATTAAATTAAAAATTCAGTTCTAGTAGTTAGACTAGCCATATTTCAAATGCTCAAAACCCTCAGGGGGCTAATGGTTGCCAAAACGAATGGTGCAGACATAGGACATTTCCATCAATGTAGAAAGTTCTATTAACTTTTTCATATGCATAGTGCTTTCTTTAGAGGATCCCTCATGGGAGGATTATTAAATGAAATGATGAATGCCTAGCCCTAGCACAGAGTAAGTACACACTCAAGGGAAGCTACTGTTAGTAGAGCCTATGTTTTCAATGGCAAATGGAAAGGCCTGTCTCTTGTCTTTATACAATGTTGTTTGGCTGGTTGGTTGGTTGGCTCTTAAAAAATGACCCCAAGTATTATCAATTTTACAACGAAATTTCATACTTCCTAATTAAAATGGTCTTCAGGTAAACCCAGTAGACACCAAAACCCGTAACACAATCATTTGGAAATAGGCCACTTATGGAGCATTTAAAACATATTTCTCTGAGATTCTATGTGATCTTTCACATAACAGAGGAAACAGATCTAACATCTCCGCTTTGTTTTAGTTATATGATGTTACTACGATAGCAAATCATTAAAATCTTTCATAATAGATGTTCACTGTGAAGAACTATGCATTGCTGAGTATTTCCAGGCTACAAAGAAACATTTCATTTTTAGCCTATTATCCCGCTGCAGTTGGCAATGAACTTATAAGTCAGAAAAACGCCTAAACATAGCAAAGAGTCAAGTATTAAACAGAATCAAGTCATCAACTATTTCCAAAGTAATTCCCAATAGACAATATTGCACTACCTGTTAGAAACTGTGGGGCCGCAAAAAGTTTCATGAACTGAAAAAAAAATTAAATAGCAACACTGCCTAAACCTTGCAATTTCTCAGATTTCATACATGTGCACACCCACATGCGCATGTACAAAATACATACCAAGA